GAAAACAGACAATGAGAACAGGATGGAAAGTCATTGCAATGGGGAGTTTTATACTAGAAAATGAGCTCTCGCTTTTGAGAATTAAAAGCAAAATAGATTATGTCTTCTAAGTTGTTTTGTGGTCAATGGCATGGCATCTAATGTGAGAATTGTGTTGTAGAATTTAATTATTGCATTCCAAACTTTTGTGGTAAATCTCCATCCATTGGTCAACGATGTTGGAAGCAATGAATAGTAAATAGATGGTTCAGCTGGAGAATGTGCTCACAGGCCTCATTGTTAAGTTTTATGATCTTCTTTGTCTTGAATATTAATCTTTTATTACTGGCATTTTTTCCCTTTGCATTTTCAATTACATAATGTGCTCTATAAATCATTTCAATTATTCAGAACAATTTGCCCTAATCGTTTCTTCACTCTCATGCAGGAGGACACAGTAAAACATAGCCCCTCCATCTAATTTGTTTAGGCCTGACTGTATAGTAGAACTTATTGGTTGGAATATAAAAACAATCCTGCAGGAATTTATCTTTCCAGAAAGATCCACATTGGAGAAAGCTGCATGAATGACCATATCAGCTTTGCCTTTGTGTTGTCTTGCTTTGTTGTAGTGGCTACTCATAAATTAGGAACTTGATCCTCTCTCCTAGGCTGGGGGTGATTCCTGATGAACACGAGTGTTGCTTTATTCCTTCCTTTTCTCAATTTGAGGATTCAGCCCCATTGCACTTAACACCTTAGTGGCCATACTCGCTCTCAGTGCTGCAGACACAGAGTCTGGGCTCAGCTCATCAGCAAAACCTTCTTGCTCTTCTCCTCTCAAACATTAAACTGCAGACATGCCATTTATTTTGTTGCATTGTTATTATCCCATCTGAATGAATTTTAAACTGATTAAACTCAAATGCTACTGGTCTATCTTATTATACATAAAAGATAAAACAAAACTAAAATTCCCGCAGTTTCCTTTCAAAAAATCATCTAAATATACCTGTCTGGCAGCAGCTCGATGACGGAGAGGATCGCGTTTTCAAACAGACAACACCACACTCAATCATTTTTACCAATCCAGAATTTAGGTATTAAATCACTTCTTCGGCCATATTAATGTTTACTTTTAGACACATATTCATCTTATTCTTCTAAAATTGAAGATTTCATTTTTATATGCATGCTGAAACATCGTTTGCCATGAGAAAGGACTATGGTAGATTTGGTGGTGCTTGTTATTTGTATTTAGCAGATTTAAATGGAAAAATGAGGGTACTGGTGGAGCTAAAAAAAAAAAAAAAGCAGCAAAGACCTATTCTCAAATCATTCTTAAATTAACCCAAAGTTCTGATTGAAGGCTTTTGCTTTGATAGGGTGGACTTGCTAAAGCATCAAAAGCTAAGGGGTTCACTTGCTGCTTTTGTAGCCCCATAGGTGAATGATGCAGAGATACGGACAAACAGCTTTGTGAAGAGAGAACTCAGCTCTTTCGCTAAAGACAAAGTGTGTTTGTGTGTTCCATCATTTGTACGAAGTTCTTCCCCTTATGTTTCTCCTCAGCAGCTATTACTCTGTTAGCCAGCTTCACAGAAATCATGCTATCTTCATACAAATGTTTCTGCTACTCCTCAGTGACCATCACCGAGGAGAAGTCTCTCACCTCTCTGCTCTCAGACTGTGCTTGAATTCGTTTTATTTAAGTGTAGATACTCATTCTGTAGATCTCTACTGTCTGGCAAAGAGTGATTTTCGTGATGTAAATAGAGGACAATCGATCAAGGTCATGTCAAGGCATGGAAAGTAGATGAAATCTGAATTTTGGCACACGTCATCAAGTTTATTAGAACATGACACCGTTTGCACATTGTCCATAGCTGCCCCATAATTTAATGCCAGAGATAAGGAGTCACGATGCTCAAGTTTGAAAACTTGTGACGTATTTTAGGAATGAAAACCTAAAATATTGATTGTCTTGCTTTTTACAGGAAAAAAAATCACGAATCTCTGTCTTCTGAGCTTCACTCAAGTAAACTGATGAGTCTTCTGAGCACTGATGATGGCTGCATCTCTCCCCTGGAATTTAAGCTTTTTGACAAAGCCGTATCTTACTCAGTGTGTTTTTCCAGTATCTCCACAGGAATGTCAGGATGGATGTGAAGTGCTCAATGAAGAGATAGGAAAGATAGAACCCTTTCTAAATAAATAACTGGCTTATAATGGGGCACCATACTCTACCAGTTTAAATCACCATGAAAAGAAAGGGGATGGATTAGGCTGCACTAGTTTGCTAGACTTCCTCAATGCAGTACCGTAAACTGGGTGGGTTAGGCCACAGCTTCTTATAAAGCGTAGTGGCTTAACTACAGAAGGCAGACTTTGAGCCTTTCCTATCATCATTTCTCAGCAAGTAAGTTCCAAATGATATACCTTTGGAGTGCACTGTATGACTATGTTGACTAAGTCAACTGCTTTTGAGTTGACTTAAATTCCAGAAAAAAAAAAAATCATCAAATGAACTTCAAGTTGGGATTAGTAGAGAATTTCTAGCAAATTTCTGAGCGAACTTACACATACATATGCCCTTTTGTACTATGTATTTATACAAGGTGTCATTTTTCCACATCGATGATCATAAAATAAAAATATCAGTCTCCTGGGTCCTACAGTATCAAATGTTCAGCCATCATTTAATTCTTTATAGAAAAGGAAAAGAGCATGTCTCTCTCAGCCATAATAGGCATGTGTTCATCTTTAATAAATTATAGAAGTCATATGTATACCACAGAGTTAGTTTAAAATAAATTTATAATTAATAAATGTTAGTTTGTATATTTAATATGTATATACACCTGGAGTTCATGTAAACGTTTTTTAGGAAAATGGTTCATGAGTGGTAGAAGTTTAAGAAGTCCTGCTTTGGGGGCTAGAGAGATGGCTCAGAGGTTAAGAGCACTGGCTGTACTTCTAAAGTTCCTGAGTTTAATTCCCAGCAACCACATGGTGGCTCATAACCATGTCAAATGAGATTTGTTGCCCTCTTCTGGCATGCAGGCACACATGCAGGTAAAATACTTTATAAATAATAAATAAAATTTAAAAAGAAGTCCTGCTTTAAACAATAGAAACATCTCTTCCCACTTTCTGAAGGATTATCTCCAGGGCTCACTCTTTGGCCTGCAAGTCCTCATCTTTTCTCTGCCTCTTCATGTGCTCTTCCATTTGTAGCCATCAGAGCTCTACTGTGTTTCCTACCCAGGCCAGTCTGGATTAAGGTCTACTATAGTGATCTCAATTTTAATTATTTCCTTGTTTTTTTTTTTCCTTCTATAAATACTTCATATTCACATTTTGAGGTATTAGAAATTAAACCCTCAGTATTTTGGTAAAAAAAAAAAAAAAAAAAAATCAGCCCACAACATTAGCCAGAATCTCAAGAATAATTTCCCCCCACAGATTTTTATAGCTTCCATCAAATAAATAAAGCATGTCTGAAATCCATCATTTGAGATAACAACCTCATCATTTTAGGTCTTGATGTGAAACGTAATTCATGCTTCACAAAGCCAAATGTATGGTTTTGTTCATACTTGTTGTCCATATTTAAGCAGGCCTTAACGAGCTTACTTACCAATGTCATTCTATGTTAACACCATGAGGGATATCATATCCTCTCCAACATTTTAGCAATCTTAGTGCCACAGTGAAATAATTTTCTTTAGTTTACTTGGTTCTTCATTGATCATATAGCATATCTCCTTTAGTTAGTGTGGCAGAGGAATTCACCACCTACCTACCTGTATGAGACCTTAGTCCTATTGCCATTAGCTTTTTACAGTGTTCATCTTCTTAGACACTATCAAAAGAAAAATAATTTTCATTGCCTTTTGTTTTTGTGTACATTGGAGTTCAATACTGGGCCCAAGTAGTCCTGAACCTTTGGCCTCAACAATACAATAATATGAACTCAGTACATTCTGAATAGTTCTTGGCTCTCTAGAGCTGCCTGGTATGCTGCCGTGGCATATACACTGTTGTAGGTTAACTTTTAAGTTCCCAGTAGTTTGCAACTATTTTTTTAGAAAGCATCACAACTGGATCCCAGGCCTCTTACATATTTCTCCTTTGTGCAAACCTTACAGTGTTAAGGTTTTCCTAAGAATGCTGCAGAGGAGGAGGTAGAAAGAACATACGCTGAAAGAGGAGGAGGACAGCCGTGAAATGCGGACTTGGGCGTGTGGCTGTGGCACACATCAGCTCACAGCAACTCTGGTCAGCTGCGTAAGACCTGCATGATATCACACCAGTCAAAATCCCAACCTGAACTGGGGAGGGCCCCCTAAGGTTCCACCCTTGACAAAGAGCTGTTGACAACAGATGTTTGCTGAGGGAGGGAGAGTCAGTTGCCTTTGGGGACATGGCTGCTAGTGAGCTACCAAGTAGCAGATGGACCCACACCCAAGGGCATATGGATGGCACTAACTGAACCCAGGGAGTTCTCAATAGCAGTACCACCACCAATAACAACAAATGGAGGACATGAACTGGGAGGGAGATATGGTAAGGTTGGAGTTGGAAGGAAATAATGATGGATGGATGAAATCAAAATACATTGTATGAATATTCAAAATTCTTGAAGAATAAAGAAAATACTATGAAAGTGTTAAAGGTCTCCTCTGTGTACTTCTTTCAGTGTTTCTTCTCCCTCTTTCCTTACCTTCTTCCATCTATGTATCGCTTTTCACACAAACACACACACTCACCTTTGTCTCTCTAAAATGGTTTGTAGAAAAAGAACTTCTCATATGGAAATGCATTAAGGTAGATACAGATTTAGAATACTGGACTTCAGGAGGGTGACATAGTAGAGGTGAGGCTCTGCAATACTTTGATTTTTGTTGTTTTTGTTTTTGTTTTCCTTTTTTGGAAAAAAACACAAATCTTTATTGTATAGAAAAAATATATGCATTTATATGTATATATATGAATGTATGTATATAAATCTATATATGCTATTCTCTCATTTCCCCATTTTTATCTTCCTTTTCCACACCTCTGATACAAAGGATGTTATTACACCTTATTAAAACTTCACACTGATGTCCAGACAATGCCACATCTATGTATTCTTCTGGATGTGCAAGGCTCATGTTCAGGGAGCCATCCTCAGAGACCAGGTAGCTCTTGTATTCCATTTCCCATTTGAGTTTTACCGTCATTGGCTTTCCTGTCAGTCTGTTGAGAAAAGGCTTGAGACTGCGGGGTTTGCTCACCGAGAACACATGGGAGTGCTGCACCCCACGAGCTCCCACCCGCTGCTGCAGGCCCTTTCTGACTGGAGCAGCACCTGATAGTACTAGCAGACCAATGCCAATACTTCGCTTTTATTACATAGAGTGAGCTGGCCAGTTCCCTATGCACCTACAAGTTGGAGAGTCGAGCTGTCCTCCCCATCCTTTGCCTTGACTTTGAATCACCTCTCATTGTCTCAGTCTGTGTTGGCAACTCAGATGCCATTCACTGCCGTGGCTTGGCTGAGTGACCTGTCTGTTTTGATTATCCCATGAGCTGTACTTTTTGGTTTATCTTTTGGTCATCGGTATTTCTTCAGTAATAACGTTTTGTCTTTTAGAAAATGATGAGCTTGCCTGAGCAACATGGTGGTGCTTATAAGGGAAAATGAGGCAATGAAACTGATGAGAATGAGGTTCATGAAGTGACTCATGGAGTCAGGACTGACAGCCAACACTTATCTTCAGTTCTTAGAGTGAATCATGGCAGTGTTCTAATATTGGCTGGGGAAATAACCTTTTTCTGATAAACACTGTTTGTGACAGATGCTGCTAGGGTAAAGTTCATTTACAACAAATGCCTGACCTTTGAGTCCCTGCTAAAGTCCTTCCTTCTGACTTTCACTGGAATCTTCCTTGTTGCCTTTTATCTTCCCTTGTCTTTTACTTTAAATTCTCAGTGAGTATTAATGCCTGTCTATCACATACCCAGTGTGCTATAGCTGTCTATAGCTCCTGCACATTCTCGTAGCTACCACCAGCCAACATACTTGATACTTTTGAGAATTGCAATTTATTCACTTTTCAATTGTTGATTATAGCTGCATTGTTTGGATTGATTTCTTTACCTGTTTCTCTGTTATGTTTCTTCTATTTCTGGCCTTTTTTAAAATTCCAACTCATTTTTTAAAATGCAGGTAAGACTATTGAATTCTTTTTTTTAATGATTTTAGTTCTTACAATCAGTCAAGAATCTTGTGCTTATTGTTAGAACTGAAATGATTATCATCTGAGGCTGAACACCGTATGAATGCCATCATGCTAATCTTAGCTCTTCCTGGGAAACTATAAAAAATTTCCCAGAATGCCCCTGAAAACTTTCTCCTTCCTCATTGTCTTCTTGTGATAGCCATGCTTTGTTTGACTTGTTACCTCTGAAGACCATCCTACCTGACCATTCTGTTCCTGAGGAAAAGGGCTAACAGCTAGCTCTCCTTATCAGGCTTGATTAACACACTTCCACTGCAGGTTTCACAGAGAAGATGGGAACCTTAAGAAGCCTATCCCGAGTGTGGCGTGGAGTCCTCATCCATAGCACTTCTTGGCTTCCTCCTGGACCTACATCTGAAGCAAGGTCTGGTCTTCACTATGCAATGTGTGTCAGTTATTACCGTGCTATGGAATCTAAGAAAAAAGCTCTGGTCACCAGGAAGAGGAAAGCTGTAATCTCAGATGTGTTCCCTAAGCTCTTCTTTGCCTCTCTCCCAGAATTATTGACCATTAGGACACTCCTTTGTTTAAACAGTATTCGCTTGCAACTGCTGTTTTCAAACAATGCAAAAACAAGAAACAAAAAAATAAACCAAAACAAAACCAAAAACCCCAAAACCCAAAACAACTACAAACATACTATGCTTCAATTATGAAGATCAGACATTCAAAACACGTCACAAGGAGAAGAATCAAGGCTTCCTTTTGTTTCTCCTGGAGACTCTAACAGATTTCCATTCCCTTGCTTTTTCTGACTTTGGGAAACTTCCTACACTTCTTGACTGGAACTCTCTTTATTCTCCTTCAAAAACAGTAATGGCTGATTGAGTCATTTCCCACATTCTATCACTCTCAAATTATTGTCATAGTTTTCTCTGAATCTTCAGCTTCTTTTCCGTGTTTAAAAAAACCCTTGTGCTCCAACCAAGGACTATTCATGGAGATAACCTAGAACCCCTGCACAGATGTAGCACATGACAGTTCAGTGTCCAAGTAGGTTACATAGTAATGGGAAGAGGGACTGCCTCTGACATAATCTGATTGGCCTGCTCTTTGATCACCTCCCCCTGAGGGGGGAGCAGCCTTAGCAGGCCACAGAAGATGACAATGCAGCCACTCCTGATGAGATCTGATAGACTAAGATCAGAAGGAAGGAGAGGAGGACCTCCCCTATCAGTGGACTTGGGGAGGGGCATGGGTGAAAAAGGGGGTGGGAGTGTGGGATTGGGAGGGGAGGAGGGTGGGGCTTATGGGGGATACAAAGTGAATAAAGTGTAATTAATAAAAATAATAATAATAATAAAACCCTTGTGATTTCATGGGGACAATTTGACATTCTCCTTGATTTATGTTACTAATGCCTTTAAGTTCATCTGCAACCTTAACTCACCCTCCATAAAATGGAATATATTTACAGGTTCTGGCAACAGAATCGTGGGCTTCTTGGGTAACCATGCTGTCTCCATGGTGACAAATGCTTCAGTGACCAGAGTTATTATTGTTCTTAAGTAGATGTAACAGTGTAATTATTTAGCATTAGAATGTTTACCAAGTTCCAGATTATTTCCCGTAATTAAATGTGTATGTGGGATTTCTCTAGTTCTGCATAAGGAAGGTTGCATCAAGCTGACAGGATCTAGAATCACCTAAGCAGCAAGCTGTTGCCATGCCTGTGAAGGGTTAACTAGGTCAAGCTAATTGAGGTGAGAAGCCCCACCTTGCACCATCATTGCCTAACAGTGGCGAAGCTTAATCAGAGTAAGCTAGCTCTGTAGCCTTCACTCTGCTTCCTGATCCAGATGCCCTGTGGCCATGCTTTCCCACTATGACGGGATTTCCCAACTGAAGATGTGGTGTGAGCATGCTTTCTCGCTGTGACATGGTTTATACACTGAAATAAACCTTTCCTTCTGTAAGTTGCTTTTCTGGGGTACTTTCTAGCAGCAATATTCAAAGGAACTAATACAAGATCATGAAATGGAGGGACAGTCATCAAGTCTTTATGCCTCGGCCCCCTCCTGATTGCAGAGTTTATTTATCCATTATGTGTGTGGGTGCAGTTGTTTAGGCAAAGGTACATACATGTACTCCCTAAAACCATGATACGAAAAATTCCTGTTAAAAATCTTAGGAAAAGAAACTTGTCTGTTAGAAATAAAGTCCCCTGAGTTTTATAATTCCTCATAATACACCCAATTTCCGTTCCTAAATTGAGCATTAAGCCGCTTTGCTTGTTGTGTCTTTGGTTTAATACCGCACGTCCAGCCCTTCCTATGAATGAGAGTTTGTGCTCGTGCATACGCTTATCCCAGAATGTCTACTCTCATTGTTACTTTTTTCTTAATAGAAGAATGGAAAACACTATTCCAAAGTCAATTTTATTTTCATTTTAGATGTTAGAAAGCAACTTACAACAAAGAAGTGATGGCATCTGTCACTTTAAAACTGTGAGGTCCTGTCTCACAGAGTGCTGTGTACATATGCCAATCTTACTGCTCAAAGTCTGACATAGAAACATAAACAGACTTTGCAAGTCGTTCTAAATTTTCGGGTATTTGCCTTGGCTGTCCCTGTTCAGGGTTTAGGCACTGAACTTCCAACTATTCTACTTTTTTCTTCTTAAATATCCTAAAAGAACTTGATAAGTAGTTAACATAACCCTCTGCCCCTCGCTGCCTGTAAGCCCCTACAATCCTCTGAGGTGTCCCTAAGTTCTCCCAAGTCCTACAGTGTTGCTCTCCATTTTGAACCGTTGATTGTGCAAATCCATTTGTTCATTTAAGGGATTTGCCTCCTCCATGCCTTCCTTTGTCACATTAAAGGCAAAGTCAGGGGCTCTACTTAATGAGACCAAGAATACACTTGATTTATCATTTGCCTTTTTCTTTCTTCCTCCCACATGTTATGAATTATGAGGAACAGTTTATCATAATCATCTAAAATTATACAACCACGGGGGCAAAAACTGCATCCTCCTTACATCCTGTAACCTTCTGACAAGTGTGTACAGAAAACGTTGAAGGGCTTAATTAACAAATGAATCAAGGCACTACCATTTCTTTCTTAAATGTCACATATTTTTACAGTGCTAAAAATGTTTTCTCTGTGGTCTTGGCATTTTGCATGTGGCATGGCATCTGCTCCGAAAGTAACAATAGAATTATAACAGACCTCTCAACTGCTATTTTGAGTAAACTATTTTGTCATCTTAAACTCTTTTGTTAAAATGCAAGAGAGGATAATTATTTTTCCCTAATGCTATTGTGAATAGAAATGCACTGTGGTTGTAATAGAAAAATGATCTTTGAACTGTCTCAGGAGGTTGACACGGAGTCATTTAAGGAATGTGTGAGCTCTCTTGGGGCCACTCTATGTTTTTATTTTTTTTTATCCAAGTAACTTAAATCTTGATGTACTAACCATAATGCCTTGCAGACAGACAAACGTATAAGCAGTTCCTTCCCTATTTAAGTCAGTACCAGGCAATGTAAGACTGTCTGAAAAACAAATTCCCTAAGCTGCCCCGGGAATGCTTGGCTCAGTAAATTCAGACCTGAAAATGGTGGCATTTGCTCAGAGTGTACGTATACAAACCCTAGTTCTCTAAGTATTTTAACATCTCGATTGCGGATCATCAAATTACGCAGAGTTCAAAAAACTTAAAAGTGATGGGCATCATTTGTCTGCGATGCCAAATGAATGACCAGATTACTTTTCCTTCTGTAGAACTGGCGAGGCAGGTGCTAATTAGTAGGCGCTATAGGAAGGAACAGTGCGCAAGCATTCTCTGAATTATGACGAGATAATAAAATTACAGACAAAACTGTGTTGAGCAGATCATCACATACATGACGATAGTGACAGAGAGAAATCAGTTTTGTGCTTGAACCATAAGGCTGCATCAACATCTCTGTGGTTTCCAACATAAGTTCTTAGTTTCTAATTTACACAGTTTTTTCATGGCTGGTCGTGGCAGTACACTCTTGTAATTCCAGCTTTAGGGAGGCAGAGGCTGAAGGATATCTGTAAATCCGGATATAGCCTGGTCTACAAAATAGAAATAGCCTCAAAAAGGACATTTAAAAATTCCTATGTTGTCTACATATTTTAGTTTTAGGGTACAAAGCTGAAAGTTTTAAGTGAGCAATTTCCATTTGCTACACTTCAGAACTGTAAGCTCCCGTCTCGGATGAGTGCCTAACTTGTGCATACTGTCGTGTCGTTTTCTTCATTCGTCTGTGACGAGCACATAGAGTATCTCTATAGCTTGACTACCGTAAATGGTGCAGTGATGAGCATAACGGTGAAGAGGTTTCCTTGAGACGGCTGATTTTAAAAAGTTCTTTGTGTATGGGAATGTGTGCTTGGTGGGGTGTGTGCTCAAGTACTCGTGGTTGTGGTCACCCGTGCGGGCTTGTGTCTGATGCTGGGACATCTTTCCTTAATCATGTCCCGGTCTTTCTTTTGAGGCAGTGTCTCTCGCTGAACCTGAAGCACACGGTTTTGACTAGCCTGGCTGGCCAATGAGCCCGGAGAACTGGCTGTCTTGTCATGAACCTCTGGGCCTGGGGGTGCAGACACCAGCTGCTGTGCTCAGCTTTGATGTGGCTGCTGGCAATCCGAACTCAGGTCTTCATGTTTGCCTGCCAGGCACTCTTCTTACAGAGCTGGAACCTCTGCTGAGATGCAGGTTCTTTCCCATATCAAATATATTCCAGGAGTACACTGAGGATCATATAAAATTTCCTTTTTTTAATTTTTTGGGAAATTAGCATACTGTTTTCCACACTGGCCATACCAATTACATTTCTACCAACACTGAGCAAAGAGTTCTGGTTTTGTTCTTGTTGCTGATGTCATTTTTCCTACTCTGACAGATGTTTGTTATCTACTGACTTGGTAGTAAAAGCCATTTTAAAGTAAGTGAACGTTATCTCCTACGAATTAAGTATAATTCCCTGCTGAGGAGTGATGTCAGGCCATTTGTAATAGTGGTTTGCCATTTTACATCTTCTTCCAAAAAATAACTGTTGAAGTCCTTTCTGTATTTTAAAAATGTTGGGGGTTGATCTGATGCTTGTATATCGTTGCCTGGATACACATGTCCTCATTGTGTAAACCTACCTGATTGGCTGGTTAAACGGTCTCTACCTGAGCAAGGCAGAATGGGGTAGGTGTGGCTAAGGCTTTTGAGGACAGGAGAATCACAGGAAACAGACAATGAGAAGAGAGGAAGAAAGAGGATGCCACTATGGGTTAGCTGGGGCCGGAGAAAGGACTCTAATAATGGCGTGGAAAGGCTCCGATGAAGAATAAAAGCAAGTATTTGTAAGATTATGGATGGCAGATAGCTCACTTGAGAATGGTTAAGGAGGGTGGCATTGGATGGAAGCTGGGAGGTGGATGGTGAGGTTACTCAGACAGCATAGGTGAGATATCTGCCCTGCCTAAGGTAAATAAGGCAATTGTAAAATATAACAGGTGCCTGTGTCTTATTATTTGTGACAGCTGGTTAGATAATACTGACATGATAATCTTAGGGATAATAATAAACATTATATAGTCCAACACTTATTTTTATTTACCACAGCATAAAAACCAGATTGTGTGTGTGTATATATATATATATAATTTATTTTTATTTTTTATTATTAGTTACATTTTATTAACTCTGTATCCCAGCTGTATCCCACTCCCTCATTCCCTCCCAAACCCTCCCTCTCTCATCTCCTCCCTACCCCTTTCCAAGTCCGCTGATTGGGGAGGACCTCCTCCCCTTTCATCTGACCCTGTTTTATCAGGTATCTTCAGGACTGGCTGTAAAGTCCTCCTTTGTGGCCTAGCAGGACTGCTCCTCCCTTGGGGGGTGGGGAGGTCAAAGAGCTCCTGTCAGAAATAGTCCCTGTTCCCCTTACTATGGGAAACCAATTGGTTACTGAGCTACCACGGGCTTCATCCGAGCAGAGGTTCTAGGTTATATCCATACATGGTCCTTGGTGGAGTGTCAGTCTCAGAAAAGACCCCTGTGCCCAGATATATTTGGTCCTTGTGGGGCTCCTATCCTTTCCACGTCATACTAACTCCCCCTTCTTTCATATGATTCCCTGCACTCTGCCGAAGGTTTGGTTATAAGTCTTAGTAATGTGTCAAACAATTGTTCCTCTAGATTTCTACAACGAAGCTACTGGTTATGCATTTGTTCAAATGTCCCTCTTTCCGGAACAGTGGTGTAGCCAGTCTATCTGAGGACATTGCCACCGTGTATCCCTTCCACTTACAGTCCTTCACTTCTACTGCTGCTTTCCAGGCGAGTGATCTGCAACCCTCACTTCTCCGTCACTTAACTCATTCTGCCTCAAATGCTGACTCTTCCTCAGAGATGCCATCCCTGACTGCCCTTCATGGATCAGAACCAATTTTCATCTTTTTATGTTCCTTTAACTTTAGTGCTATCTCCCGGTGACAA